AGGGTTGCTATGAGAAGATGGTACATAACAACAACAACATACTGGCGTATAGTGGATCTTAATCCAATGGGAGTGATGTGTGTATACACAGAGAAGCGACACAGACACAGAGAGAAGATTCCTATGTGAAGATGAAGGCAGGCATTGGAGCACTGCATCTACAAACCAAGGAGCACCAAAAGTGGCCAAGAACCTTCAGACCCAAGGATGGCCAAGAACCTTCAGAACCAAGAATGGTCAGAACCAAGGATGGTCAAGAACCACCAGAAACAAAGATGGCCAGGAATCACCAGAACCAAGGCTGGTCAAGAACCATCAGAAACCAGTTCTCTTAGGGTCTTTAGAGAGAACATGGTCATGCTAGAAACTTGAATGTAGACTTCTAGCTTCCAGGACCAGGAGACACGACATTTGTGTTGCTTCACATGCTGGAGTTTGTGGTACTAATTATTAGAGAATCCCTGGGAAATGAACACCAGTGGTTCACTGTGGGAATCTCATTTTCTCTTATGACTCAGAAGATTACTGAGATGAAAGCCAACTCTGCAACTACCCCTCCCCCCATGCTGGTAGAGTCATTTTCCATCTCCATGGTGAGGAGACAGGAGATGTCAGAGCTGTCATTCATTCAACAAGGATGGGCTCGGTGATGGAGGACAGAAAGATAAACCAGATGCAAACACTATGCCAACGGAGCTTAGAATTTTAGCAAAGAGATACGGAAGCAGAATTGAAGCATGATGGTTGTATGATAGAAGTAAGTCCAGTTCTCTGAAAGCTCAGATGAAGCAGTGATAGTTCCCAAGGTGGGCTGGGTAGAGGGCTCATAGAGTAAGTGACTTATGAGCTGGGTCTTGAAGGTTGAGTAAGAGCTTCGCAGGTGAAGACAGACACACTTCTTTGAGACTCTGTAGATTTATTAATCAGGGAGAGCAGGCACTGCTCCCAAGATGACTGGTCACTGAAATGATTTCCTTTGTGGTTTTGAACAGGACCATTAAAAATCTGGACGTTTCTGTCTACCGTTCCGTTAAATAGAGGGAGAAACATCAGTAGAGCCACTGGGAGGACGAATCAATTTCTGTGGTTTGCAAGAGCAAGTGTCTACTTATTAGGAAGCCTCCGGAGAGAAAGCGTGGATGGCAGCAGAACACAGGAAAGAGAACAAAAAACAAGTGGAAGCAAATGGAACGGGACCCTGATTAGTCTGGGATGGATTGATCTTCCGCCACTCATTTCCCCCATGGCCCACAGTTGCAACTTACAGCTTGTTCAATATTTTAAAACCAATTTAAAGCCAATTTTTGAGTTTGCTTTAAAAAAAACAAAACTACATTAATCAAAAACTGCATTAAGTTTTGGGTCAAATAATCAAACTGATAGAAAGAGCTGATGGGCCCCAGGAGGGAACAGAACAGCTGGGCTCGAGATGGAAGGAAGCTGGAGAGCAGACACAAATGGCAGACAGAAGAAATCTTACAAGTGAATTGAACTGAACGGAAAATGTGAAGAGGGGGAATGAATGCATTTTGCGAGGATTAGAACAGTTGGAACACAGTTATTTCTTGTTGTTGATTGTGGTTACATAGATCCCGACAGTAAGGGTAGAGACATGTTTGACCTCTGCTTCATTGGGCTGATTTTGAGTTTGATGCTCTTCTCCCTTGTGAAGCCAGGGGAAGTCAGGCGCGGCTCCCTCATGAGTTTTGCACTCCCTTTCTGTGTTCAAGAGCATGAAAACAGCCATGGATCAGTGACAGAATTCTCGACTTCCTTACAGGAGATTTGAACTCCATTCCCAGCCAAGACACTGCATTTACAACTGCCATCTGTCAATCTGTTGGTGGAAGCTTGTGTGTTGTTATGATGATGACCCAAGTTCAGAGGAGTTTCCAAACTAAGACAGACTAGGCAGAAAGAAGGTGATTGGTTTCTGAAAATCACCTAATAAAAACCCTATGAGCACAATAGTGTGATCTGCAAAGGATCATGGGGATGATACAGGACTGAGCAGCATTTTGTTCTCGACCATGAGTTTTGTTCTCGAGGCTGACCTACTAGCAGCTAACAACAGTAACAACAGCAACATGTTTAAGAGTAGCTATTGTTGAAATAAAAGTAGCATGGATTGCTAGATGAACAAACAAATCTGTCTTGGTGAAGTCTTGTCAGAATGTTCCTTAGAAGTGAAGATGAAGAGACTTGATCTCTCGTACTTCATGTATTCAGGAGGGACCAGTTCCTGGAGAAAGACGTCATGCTTGGTAAAGTGGAGGGTCAGAGAAAAAGAGAGACCCACATCAAGATGGATTGGCACAGTGGCAGCAGCAATGGACTCAAGGGTAACAATGATTGTGAGGTTGGCGCAGGACCGGGCAGTGTTTCGTTCTGTTGTGCATAGGGTCACTGTGAGTTCGCACCTAACAATAATAATTGTTGGCACCTAACAATAATAATCTCCAATAGCAAGATGAATTGGCATGGATGAAGCATGAATTGGATGGCTGGGATGCTCAGGCAGCTTGACACTTTCAGGTTAAGCAATGTTCTTCATCTTCCTGCTTACTGCTATCCAAAAATTGGTGCTAAAGTACTTCTTCTTGGAGCCTTTTCCCGTGTTCGTGAGCAGGTGGGTGGAATTACTAGGAGAACCCCATTCTCAGGGATACAGACTCTTCTGCCGCAGAGCTCTCTAGTAGAACTGTGAGCTTGCTAAGAATATCTGAGAGCAAACAAGGTTAACACAAAGAGCGTTTGTTCTCTCTGCTTCTGAAGGATGGAGTCCGTCTTAAAACTCCCAAAGTACTTCTGACCACCATTGGAAAAGCCAGTGAGAAAATCTGAATTCATTAGTTATGTTTGCTTAGCCCCCAAAACCCAAACTGATGTCAAGTTGATTCTGACTCTTAGTAACCATTGAGACCCTATTGGTAAGAGTTGCTCCCTATGGTTTCTGACACTGCACATATTTATGATAGAAGAGTGCCTCATCTTTCTCTTGTGGGTTCAAAGTGCCAATCTTCTAATTAGTAGTCAATACTTAACCTACTGTGCTACCAGGAGCCTGCTATGTTTGCTTGCTGTTGTTAAGTGTGGTCGAGTCAGTTACCACTCATAGTGACCCTGCACAGAGTTTCCGGTGCTTATTCTACAGCGCCATGGGTAAACATCGCCACAGAATACCTTATGGGGAAACACAGCTTTATGTTATGAATTGAGGACATTAGATCTTGGATGTTCTTTACCTCAAACTTAAGATGTTCTGTAACCTGTACATCTATTTATGAAGCTCTTACCAACAAAGTGACAAAAGGACTTATCTGGGTAGGTTTGGTATTTGTGGAGCCTTGAATTTACTTGATAGAGCTTTTCTATCCAAAGTCTTATTTCTCACCAAGTGATTGGGTTGTTGTTGTTAAGAGCCATTGAGTTGATTCTGACCCATACTGACCCTGTATAGGGTTTCCAAGGAGCAGTTGGTGAGCTTGAACCACCCACCTTGCAGTTCAAATGACTTTGCAGTCTGATGCATTAGCCCACAGCGCCACACCAGTGATTGGGTGTGACTATGCAAATAAGGTATACAAGACTCTAAGGCTGGGATTGATTACTTTTGTCCTCCAACTAGGCTTAAAAGGAGCCATCTCAGAAGCAGAGATGGAAGATCCCAGGACCAGCAAGGAGGAGCATGTGTGACATTTGAGATCCCCACCTAGAGAAACAGCGATGGCAGAGGCTACAGCAAGGAGAGACGGAGCAGCTTCAGGCTCTAGGCCTAGGGACTGAGTGCAGCTGAGTGCCCACAGGCGGAAGACTGGCTTGAAGAATGTACCCTTTGGGCATTCACACACTGGCTAAAAGAGCTTCGTAACACGTGTTCTAGCAGGGTAGAGGTCAAGGGACCACACGGCTGAGAGTCTGAAGACAAGAGTGAGGCGTGCCTGAGTTCCTGATTGGAGAACTGCTGTATCCTGAGCTGGCTCATTTCCCTAATAAACCCCAGAATCGTGAGTATTGTTCTGAGTTCTGTGTGGCCGTTGCAGTGGATTATGGAACCCAGATGTGAAGCAGAGAGCACTGTGGGAGGGGTGGTTGGAGTCAGAACAGGGCAAAGAAGGTTGTAGGGTGGAAGCATGTCTGACCTCTGCTTCCTAGGAATCCATCGGCCTGGGGCTGATTTTATTTTTCATTCTCTTTCCTCCTTGTGAAGCCATGGTCCCCACATAGCTTATTTAAACCCTTGTATTTAAATGTATTTAAAATACAGGTTTAAGTACCCATGTATTTAAACCCTTGTTAACATCTAGTCCAGTTGAAAAACAATGAACAAATTCATCCACTGTGCTGAAGTTTTCATTCCTTCCCCCTAAAGTTTGGTTGATCATAATTAATAAAGGAAAGAGAATGCATTTGCATTTCTCTCAGCCGAGAACAGTGCACTAGAGGACGGTTCAGTAAACACACTTCCCCTCATCAAGTCTGAAAGGCAACTCAGCCTAGTTCGTGACACAGGGAACAGTCGTGCTATCTTCGTGTCAATTTCTATGCACGCCCTTCGTGGAGACAGTTGTTTTTGTGTTTGTTTGTTCCCCCCCACCCCAAAGATTCTAAACAGAATCTCTTTAAAAAAACAAAATGAAACAACCCAAAGTGGAGTTAGTGTTGACTCCTCTGCTGTAGAGCTGGTTGAATTGTTTTCTCTCCCTTCCAGAGACTCCGTTTATGCAGAGTTAAGTTGCATGTCCCCAGTCCACATGGCCTAGGTACAAATTGACCATAGAAGGACTAACAATCACCAAACAGCTGCTGAGAAAGCTGAAGTCCAGGCCTTCCCTGAGGTGGGGTGGTTCTGGGTCAAGGACTGGGATGATGGAAAAGCTGAGTCCCACTGGCTGTCTTTAGGATGCCAGTGTGGTGTTGTTTTTCTCTTGGTGACCTCCAGGACCTGGCTCTCCTCCATTATTGCCCATACCCTGAGGCATGAGGTGGGGGCTCTGTACCTGAGTAACTGTCCCTGAGGCTTCCGACTGCGCAGTGCACGCCCCTTCATGGTAGGCCTCTTTACAGTCCCGACAAAAGACAAGCTGCAAAAGAAGACACACGCATTAGAGAGGAGGAGACCTTGGCTGGTGCCGACGGTGAGTGTGCTCAGCTGCTTTGAGACCACTCAGAGGAGCTTTGGAATCTACCCCGGAAGAACCAGCCATTGGAAACCCTATGGAGCACAGTTCAGACACACATGGGGGCACCATGAGTGGGGGTCGATTCTAGAGCAACAGGTTTTTCTAGTGACATTTGACCCATAACATATTTTTCTTCCTTTTCCCTTCTTCAAACTCATTACATTCATTCCTCTGATTCATGTGATCATTTTTATGGCAAAATGCCACTTTGAAAAGAGAAATAAAGTATTATTTCAATAGCACTGTTCCCTCAGGACTAGAAAATGTCTCAAGCACTGCAGGGTGGCAGGGTTACAAAGATGCATAAGCCAGGTTTTCTTCCTTTAAGATGTTTCTAGTCTGGGAAAGAGAAAGTTGTACAAAGGAGTACTGCAGTGAAGTGTTACTGTTACACACAGAATGAGGTAAACAGCTTCGTTCAAGAGCTTTGCATCTAGCACAGCTCCAGGTATAGCCCATTTAAAGGTCTAGGTGGACGGACTTCTTTCTGTGTGGAAACCCTCCACGGAGAGAAGAAAAGAGCTGGCACAGAGTCATCTCACTGCGTGACAAATGTCCTCCACCCTTCATCTTATGAAGAAGGTGGCTGAAAAAGGGAATGCCGGCTCGGCTGCATCCAGGTCTGGTGTTTGGGACCATTAGGTCTTCCAGAAAGCACAGCTGAGCCTTGAACACTTGGGTTGGAACTGCGCGGGTCCTCTTAGTCGTGGACTGTTTCCCTGTTTCTGCGGTGGGACCTCAAGTACTGCTTAAAATGCTGTGTGATGTTCACCTTCTCCAGGTGAGCAGTGCGTGGATACTCTTACACCTGAGTTCATCACCATGGCAACAGGAAAAAAATCGGGAGTAAGTGGGCCCGCGCAGTTCAAAACCGTGTTGTTTAAGGGTCAACTGTAAATCATCCAAGATTTCTGACTGTGCTGGAGGTCGGTGGCCCGAACACTGTGTTGTTCAGAAGTTGACTATGTTTTACTTTCTCTTGTCATCAACTACACTTTAGAGGTTGCTGAAGTGGTCAGCTGTAAGGTCTTGGGGTCGCCATCTTGGTTTCTGTGCCTCAGTTTCCTCCTCTGGAAAGCCAAGATAATGATGATTCCAACTCATAGAGATCTGTATAGGATTTCTGAGGAGCTGCTGGTGGTTTGGAATCACTGACCTTGTGGTTACCTGCTGTTTCTAAGTGCTATTGAGTCAGTTCTGACCCATAGTGACTCTATATAGGGTTTCTGAGGAGCAGCTGGTGAGCTTGAACCACTGACGTTGTGGGTCAAATGACTATGTGGTCCCGTGCATTAACCCACAGTGCCACACCAGGTGCTATCTCTTATGGCCACTGTAAGGTCTAGGACATGTGACTGGATAGGATTGTGCCTGGAGTTGGTGCCAGCCAGGGACTCCCCTCTCCCCTCTTTCACTTCTGGGGAAGGAGGTTCTCCACACACATGTCCTTCACTAGCTAGGACCACTCTCAGAGCTGAGAAATGTCCATGTGTATAGTATGTGCCTGGTGTGCTGGTTTTAGAGAACAGACCCCCAAATTACTTGATACTGGTCCCATTGAGGGGTGGGGTCTATGGCCCTTCCCCTAAAATCTGGAAGCTATGGCTTCTTGCTCAATAGAATATGGTAAGAGGGATGGAAGACTACTTTCTAGGCCCAGGCCCAGGCCCAGGCCCAGGCCTTCAGAAGCTAGCAGCTTCCAGGTCCGGTACCTTGAAGCACAGCCACCATACCTTGAAGAGGGCTACCTGAGGAGAAAGGGACGCCCTGGCCACTCGGCTTAGCTGAGTAGTCCATGACCAGCCAGCACAAGGTTGCTGTGTGGGACCCTAAGAAGAAAACTCCATTTTCTACTTAGGCTAAAGCACGTCTCCCTGTTTCAGGAATGTGCCTGGTCAGTTAGTACTAGATGGAGATGATGCCCTTCCCCTACGAGCCATAAAAGTAGAGATAAACTCTCCTGACAAACCCAAGGCTAGATAATGTATGTCTTCCTTACCCTAATTAAACTGTCCTAGCGTAATAAGCGTCTTCCTTATCCTAATGAAGCTATCCTAGCTATAGGTAGTGGCCAATCGAATTGTGTAATCTCGTACCTTACCAAGTGTAAACCAATCCTAGAGAAGTTAGGTAGAAGACCCCCGAATCTGTTTGCAAAAATCTATAAAACCCCGCTACCAGAGAGCTCGGGGCTCTTTCCCTATTCCGCTGCATCAGATAAGGTTAGAGACCTGGCTCGAGCTTGAATAAACAACCCTTATGTATTTACATCGGTGACGGCTCCTGGGTGGTCACTGGGGACCCTGAACTCTGGGCATAACAGCTGGTGGGTGAATAAATCATCCATCGAATGTAGACCCTTCAGCCCCTGGGTGAGCCTCTGACTGGGACAGAGACAAGCAGTCCTCACAGAACCCTGCCTAAGCTGTAGGTTTGGGGGGCAAATAAAAAAACAAGCAAGAATTTCCATGGTTTAAATCACTAAGTTTTGGGTTCTTTCTTACATAGTGTTAGGTAACTGATATTATGTCGCTGTTGTTAAGTGTTGTTGAGTTGGTTCCGACTCATAGCGATCCTGTCTGGGGTTTCTGAGGAGTGGCTGGTGGGTTTGAACCGCCAACCTTGTAGTTAGCAGTCCAGTGTTGATGCTATGGTGCCACACCAGAATAATGGCGCTGAATGTCTGGAAGACTCAAGAGATTTCCAGAGGCTGAACATTTCTCAGATTATGATTCTGGAGCATAAGCTGGGAATTTAGACTAGTTTTACTTCAGACAGCTTCAAACAGAAAATCAAAAACCCAAACAGAAAATCAAAAACCCAAAACAAATAAGATGGGGATAAAACTAGCTTTCTCTCTCCCCCTCCCCACCCCCCCCAGCCATACTGACTTCTTTACCATTTTGTTTTCTCCTTTCTTGAAAAAAAAAAAAACGAAAAAAAAAAAAAAAAACAACAGCAGTTGGTGCAGCAAAACCTCCTTTCACATTCTCTTCACCACAAGAACATAGTCCCTCCTTCCCTCTGTCCTCATCGGGCTTTAATACTCATTAGGAAATTCTTTTAATCTCAGGACATACAAACAACAAGGAAGCGATTTGATCAGGAAATGACTTCATCTACAGAGACTTGGGCCCTGAGTGTTGCAAATAGCTTACGTGCTTGGTGGTTCATCCCAAGGCTGGAGGTTGGAATCCAGAGGAACCTTGGCTGAAAGACATGGTGCTCTCTGCCAGCAACTACTGAAAACATCATGGGGTGCAATTCTACTCTGATATATTCGGGGACCCTTTGAGTTGGAATCAACTTGCTGGCAACTCATTTTTTGGTTTACTTTTGTGGCCCTGCTTGGTTCACGTGTTAGAATGCAGTACCAGGGCTCCGACTGAGTCATGCTGTGTATGAGCGGGCTTCAGAAAGTTTGTGGGAAAATTCCGTCATCTTTTCATCCCATTTCCCCATGAACTTTTTGAAGCCCCATTTCTCCCCTGCACCGGGCCCTGTCTTATAGTCCATCTCCTTCATTAGAGGACACTCAGACTCTGTTTCCTGTTGTCTCCAAAATAAAACAAACCTCAGAGTGTGTCTCAATTTCCTTACACAAGAAGTAATCACACCAGCATGCTGTATTAGTATAATTTTTTTAAAAACGTATTCACTGGGTTTACTTTGTGTTGGCATGAGTTTGTATTTCAAAGTGTATTTTAAAAACTTTTTATTGTGAATTGAGTGAAGGTTTACAGATCAGATCATGAGTTGCACTTTCAGCAAGTCCTATCCTGTGCTTTGTTAGGAGGACTGCAGTCCCCTCCATGTACCAACATGAACACTTTCTACCTTTATTCACCCTCTCTCTTGTGCTCCAATCGGTGTCCTCCTGCTAATTTCATCTTTCCTCCCAGCATGCTTTAGTATGACAGATTCATGGTCTCTAAACTGACAGACAGCTGATGAATAGCAGGTAAACCAGGGACTCCTATTTGTTTATTAGTATTGTTTTAAGTATCTGCTGATCTCAGGGTTTGCCATGGACCTATCATTGTGCTGAGTTAAAAAATCGTGGGTTGTGAGGCTTGGCCCCGGAGAAGAACTGAATGTGTGATTTCCTCTTGTTTCCTGTGGGGGCACGGCTGCTCTCTGGGTGCAAAGGGACTCTGTTCACCTCTTATTAGTAAGTGGATGAGATATAAAATCAGTTTCATGGTGGAGAAACACCCTGGAGGTTGGTCGGTTTGTCAGAACAAATAGGTCTTTCCTGACACAAATACATTAAAACCCCTTCCACATGGGTGCTACAAAGGACGGACTAAAGAGAAATAACAGGAAGGAATGAGCAGGTCTCAATGAAAGTCTCAGCATGTCAGTAGCAAAGGTCATACTAACCCGCTGCTGCTGACTTCACACTCAAACCCGAGAGCATCATTCCCATTTAGCTACATCTTCCACTGGGTCTTTCCCAGTAAAATAATAGGAATCTGTCACACACAACATGCAGAAATAGCTAGGAGGTCTGACTTGATCGGTAACATGTCAAGGTTTTAATAACATTGACCAGAACTCAAGACTCAGCCACTTGTATGGGGTGGGGGTGGGGCTTCAAATAATTCATTATTTTTCATTCCAATATTCCACGAGCTTAAGTGTTGCACACCTTGAACAAATGCTTAGATTCCAAAACTTTGTACCAAGGCACCCCTTGGCTGAGACGAGAAACTCACAAGGATTGGGGGTGGCCTGGGGACTAATTCAGCTTTTTGAGGAACACACCGTAAAAACATCTGTTGGACTGTGTGTGAATGAGTAACTTTGGGCAGTTCATAGTGTGCACACATCTTTTTCCATGGGAAGGCTTTGCAAAGCCAGGTGTTTGGAGGTTCCGATGACAAAAACCAAACAGAAAA